CCTGCTGCTGGTCCTGCACCGTCCTCACACCTGCTGCTGGGCCTGCACCGTCCTCACACCTGCTGCTGGGCCTGAGCCTGCTGTTGCTGCCACTGTGCCAGTCCATCTTGATGAGGGCCTTCCTCCTCTTCACTGTCCCTGCAGGTTACCAAGAGTCACCTTCCTCCTTTTCACTGTCCCTGCAGGTTACCAAGAGTCACCTTCCTCCTCTTCACTGTCCCTCCAGTTTACCAAGAGTCATGTCCTTCTCTAGGGACTCCTGATAATCTTTTTAAAGTAGGAGAGACAGAGTCTTGACATGCTGTCTTCTAAGCATTTTGGTTGTACTTTTTCCAACACACATGTGTTTGTTAGTCTGACTGTCTTAATGGTATTTTATTATTCGTCTTCAAAACCATAACTCAAATGGATACATCCTTCTACGATCTTCCTTATTCATTGTCCAACTTTCACATGTATATGAGGTTATTGAAAATACCATGACTTGGGTCAGGCGCACCTTAGTCCACAAACTGACATCTTTGCTCTTCAACACTTTAAAGAGGTCTTATGCAGTACATCGTTTGATTTCTTGACAGCTGCTTCCGTGAATGTCGATGGTGGATCCAAGGAAAATGAAGCTTTGACAACTTCATTATTTTCTCCATTTATTATGTTATTTATTGGTCCAGTGGTAAGGAGTTTTGCTTTCTATATTGTGGGGTAACCCATATTGAAGACTGTGGTCGTTGATCTTCATCACTATTTTAATTCCTCTTCAAGCAAGGTTGTATCATCTGCATAGTGCATGTTGTTAATAAGTCTTTCTCAAATTCTTATGCCAAGTTGTTCTTTATATAATTCGGCTTCTCAGGTTACTTGCTCAGCATATAGATTGAATTAAGTATGGTGGAAGATGACAACCCTGCTGCACACCTTTCCTGATTTTAAACCATTCGGTGTCCCCTGGTTTTGTTCGAACAACTGTCTTGGTCTAGCTACAGGTTTCTTCTGAGCACAGTTAAGTGTTCTTGGAATACTCATTCTTCGCAGTTTTGTCCATAGATTGTCATGGTGCTCACAGTCAAAAGCCTTTGTGTGGTCAATAAAGGTAAATATCTTTCTGGCATTCTTTGCTTTCTGCAAAGATCCATCTGATGTGTTAGCAGTGATATTCCTTGTTTTCACATCAACTTTGGAATCGGTTTGACGTTCTGGCAGTTGCTTGTCAATGTATTGTTGCAGCCGTTTTTGAATTATCTTGAGTAAAAACGTACTTGCATGTATATTGTCGTAATTTCCGCATTCCACTGGAATGGACACAAATATGGATCTCTTCCAATCAGATGGCCATGTAGGTGTCTTCCAAATTCCTTGGCAAAGATGAGTGAGGGCCCCCAGTGCCGCTTCAGTTTATTGAAAGGTTTCAGTTTGCATTCCCTAAGTTCCCAGAGCCTGTTCTTGGCCAGTGCCTTCAGTGTACATTGGACTTGTTCTTTCAGTATCATTGGCTCTTGATCATATGAACATTGACCATTTCTTTTTGGTGCAGTGACTGTGTATTCTTTCATCTTCTTTTAATGCTTTCTGCATCATTCAATATTTTGCCCAAAGAATCCTTCAGTATTGCAAGTAAAGGGATCTGTAGTGGTATCTTACTTTATACTTTGGGTGTGTGATAAGTGTCCCATTTAACTTTTGTCGTCTGATGGTGTCTCTTGTCTTATACTTTCGGTTTGTAATGGTGTCTTGTTTTATACCTGGGGGTCTGAGATGGTGTCTCATTTTACATTTGGAGGAACGCTAAGTTACAAAATCATACTTTGCTTAGTGAACTATTACAATTGACGCTATTTTTCACAAGCCTGATGTAGACATTTTAATTATTTCTATTTAAATATTTTGTATATTTCAGGTTAGAAGGTCGATTTGAAACAAATGCTTGCAGTTCTTTAATTACAAAGATTATGTCCGAGCTGTGCTGTCACCTTCCTGGACATCATTGTGATACTGATGACGTGCACAATCTCCATACTGAGAAGTAAGTTCTGGAACATTCTGAGAATTGTGAAAACTTTTGACTAAGAAAATTCAGTGTTAAGCATAGTCATTTGCTGCTATTTCAGTTGTTTTGGTGGGAGAATTGGAATTCCACTGTTTCTGCCTCAAAGAAGAATGTAACAAGATGTGGCCAGGCAGATAAACTTGTCTGTTGAAACACAGCAGACCCAGTGTGGAGACAGCAGCCCTGTGTAACAGCTGCACCGGTAGGCAGCACAGTGTCATTTTCACACGTTCCTGCAAAGACACTCAGAGTCCTGTCTCATTTGCAGATGGTCCCAAGTGCTAAGCGCGCTCTGTGCCACACCCGTCCCAACGCTGTACTGTTCCCGGAGTGTTCTTGAAGTGCTTGCTGTGCTCCGGAAAGTCAGTGCGCAGTGCCACCAAGTGTCTGAGCAGGTCCTTTCGTCTGCGGAGCGGCGGCACCAGCAGTGGGTGGAGAAGACCCTGCGGTCTCGGCAGAGAGACAACTACCTACGCATGTTACAGAGGTGTGGATCCCACGCTTGTCTGGGCCTTTATGGTTAAAGTGCAGGATACAGTAAAACCAGTGTGAGGTGGAAATCTCTCAGAGATGGAAAACTCCAATATTTCCCATTAATTAAGAGTGAGGAAGTCCTGGGGCCGCATAGGATAAGCACTAGACTTCAAGGTTGGTTTGAACCACAAGGCTGGCAGTTTAAGCTCATCAGCTGCTCGTCGGAAACCCTATTTTACGGGGTCGCTATGGTTAGAACCGATTCAGCGGTGTTACATAACAACAGGGAGAGAGAGAAAAGTGGTTACTCTGTGCCCTGTCCAAGCTGGAAACGTGGCCAAGACCAGGCCGTGCTCATAGGGTTTCCTGCCCAGTGAAGTGCTCGGTGTACAGTGGATCCAAGTTGCCATGATGTTTGGGGTTTTGTGGTGTATCTCTGATATCAGTTAGTGCACCGCGTACAGCGCTGCAGCAGTTCTGGATGTCATTCACACATGGCTCACTCACAGGGGCTTGAAGGCAGTTTCAGAAACATACTGATGAAGGCATTGGTAATAAAAACTTAAAAAAGGTGTTTGATTGACCTCACAAGTGACATGTGGCAGAGCCGTCAGACTGTAGCCCTTTGATTTGAAGGGGACGGCATGTGTAAGCCATGTTTACAGCTCTGACCTATGAGACCAGGACACAGGTAAGTGTTCCACCGCCCTCCACACACAGCGATCTCCTCACAAGTGGGAGATCTGGGGAACCCTACATTGAACGACTTGTCGGCACCATTTTTCCAGCAGCATGCCCATACTTCATTTCTCTTTGCCGCATTTTGGAAATTCTCATACTATTTCAAACTTGTCCTTAATGCAAGTATTTGCATGCTTAATAGATTGGTTTATAGTTAGGTGTACAGTGTAGTGTAAACTAATTTATATATGCTATTGGAACCAAAAATCAGTACTACTCATTGTATTGCTGTATCTGCTTTATTTGGGGGGTTTGGAACCACACCTGTGGTAAGTATGAGGTAAGCCCAGACAATTCTGCCTACCCAAATTAAAATAAAGAGTTGGCTTCTAAAAGTTAGTGGAATGTTTTCCATGATCTTTTAAATCCGTTTCCCCACAACCTCCTTGTGTTGTTGGTAAGTGCCGTCAAGTCGGTTCTGACTTACAGTGGCCCTGTACTGGGTTTCTCTGATGTCTGTGGTTTAAGCTGCCAGCTGCTCCGTGGGAGAAAGATGAGGCTTTCTGGTCCCGCAGAGATCTAAAGCCTTTTAGATCATTGGATCTAAAAGTTTAGCAAACACTATACAGGGCCACTGTGAGTTGGAACTGATTGGACAGCACTTACCAGTAACAACATAGGGCTTCCAAGGAGTGGCTGGTAGGTTTGAACTGCTGACCTTTCTGTTAGTAGCCCAGTGTTTATTCTACAGCACTCACCATGTGGGTATGGAGCACGGTTGGCTCTTCACTTTTGAACGTGCTGCATCCATTGCATTCTTGAGAAATGACCATTTGGAGCCCTTTGCTGAATGCTGAATGCTCTTGTTAGGACAGTGGCTGCTGGGCCCTGTAGCCCTGCCTCCCAGAAGGCACTCGGTCTGCACGCACACTAGCTCATTCTGATGTCTCTCGCCTGCCATGAGCTGATCCGTGTGTTTAAGTCTCTGTCAGTGTCACGAGAACAATCGTCTTGTATTTCATTGGTGTTTCTTTGGCTGTTGGTGATGTTGGGCCCGTTTTCAAGGTTAAGCCACTCGACTTAACGTCTCTTTGTGAAGGCCCTTTGCTAATTCTCAGGTGATAGGAAGGACGCTGTCCATGTATGAGTGGACATCTGACCAGGAAAGTCCCAGAAGACAGGTTAAGTGACCACTGAAGGAACCAGAAACAGGGTGCCGTGTGGAGTGACGAAGGGTTGTTGTATGAGAGTGTTGTGTGCAGGGCGCTGTGCGGTGTGTGCAGGGCGGTGCGTGCAGAGTGTTGTGTGGAGAATGGAGCTGGAGATTATTGGGCTGCTCACGGTGGGCTGTGCAAAAGAGGGTCGGAGAAGGACCTTCAGACATGTTAGGCAGTTTGGGGGCAGCCTAGAGTACGGAGCACCCAGGTACGGAAAGTAGGAAGGTGCCTTATAAGGTGAATGAGTGAGAAATACCATGTTCTTGGGGTGAAGGATGACCACCTGTGCTCATAAAAGGTAGAGAGGCAGACCTGGGGCCCACGTGATCAGAAGGTGACTGTGGTGGGCCCTGTCATGTGGGAAGAATGGACAGACATACTGTGGAGGTGCGGCATTGCTTTCCTCATGACAGTAGGAAATGTTTCTGTTCTAAGTGTTTTATTTATTCTGTTTTCAGTATGAAGCTTCTATCTCCTGTGCTTTATCTCATCTTACTGCTCACTGCACTGGAGTTGGTCAACATTCACTCTGTTCAAGGAAAAACGGTTTGTGAATACCAGCAATATTTAAAGTGAGTACATCTTGCCTCTGAGAAATGAAGCTCGAGTGAGTCCCTGAGGAAATGTTTCCACCTCACAGAGCTGTACTGGCCTTCGGTGTGCTAGCCCAGGTCTCAGAATGCCACTTTCCTTGTGTAATGAGGACACAGAGATGCATGTTGGATGAGGCTTTTGTAGGGAGTTATTTTATGTGTGACGCAGGCATTAGTGAGTTGAAATGAACTGGTGTGTAAGCTATTTTGAATCAGAAAATCATGTTTAACTATGTTGGGATGGATACATTGAAGAGGAATGATGTTGCATTCACCATCTCAAAAAGAACATTTTGAGGTTGACTAAAGTCAACTTCTGTAGTGTGAAGTTGATAAAACAGGAATTCAAGGTGCGTTGGTAGTTAGCGGTGAAAGGAATGTGAAAGTTGGAAACAAAGAAAAATGATGACTAGCTGGTGATAGAAATGATGCTGGAGACAGCATGGTAGAATTTTACAAGACTTAACTGTCCACACAAATACCTTTTTATTCAACAACATGAATGGTGACTGTACATGGAACTCTGAGTAAAATCCAATCAAGTGTATTTGTGGAGAGAAATCCTAGAGAAGCTTAATAGCTTGTCTTCTAGAACCAGGTGGAAGGGCCAACCGTGGAACAGTTGAATTGCTCATGTGCTAGTTTAAGTTGAAGCTGAAAATTAAATCATTGAAAGCCATAGAATACAACCTTGGAAGACGTGTCCCACCTTAATATATTCTAGAGACCATTTCAAGGATGGATTTGGTTCATTGACCACTTAGTGACCAAAGACCAGATGCATTGTGGGATAACATCAAGGACAGAGATCCATTTGATATCTTTGCTAAGGGACATTCAAAAGACAGAAAACATCAAAATGTCAGAAGAGACTGAAACATGCTTTCTAGCATAGAGGTACTAAAGAATATGGAAGAAATGAAGTAACAGAAAAATTAGAAAATTTCAAAGGGCAGCTCGAGAAGACACAGTGAACTATTATAGAGAAATGTGCTCAAGATTTCTCAAGCTGAAAGAATTTAAACACATTGAAGCCTTGAGTTGCATTATTGAAGGATTCAATGACGAAATGTTGACTAACACAGGAAGCATCAAGGGAGGATGTAAAAGTTATACTCACCATACCAAAAAGGAATTGGTTGATGTTTACCACTTTAGGGTAACATATGATAAGAAGCAATGATAGTATTAAAGGTTGAAGTCCAAGCTGTACTGAAGGCATTAGCGAAAAACAAGGCTCCAGGAATTGATGGGATACAAACTGAAATGTTAACAACAAACTGATGCAGCACTGGAGACACAGCTACCTGGCCAACTGACTAGAGAAGACGCATATTTGTGCCTACTCCAAAGAGTGGTGACTCAACACAGTATGGAAATTATCGAAGAATATCATATTTAAGGAAAATTTTGCTGAGGTAATTAAATAGTTGCAGCAGTACATTGACAGGGAACTTCCAGAAACTCAAGCTGGATTCAGAAGAGGACACTGAATGAGGGATATGATTGCTGACATCAGATGGATCTTGGTTGAAAGCGGAGAATACCGGGAAGATGTTTACTTAAGTTTTATTGACTATACAAGTGCTTTCAATTGTTTGGATCATAACAAACGACGGGATAACATTATGAAGAATGGGTCTTCCAGAACCCTTGATTGTCCTCATAGGATATGTGCATATAGACAAAGAAGTAGTTGTTCACAGATAACGAAGAAGAGTATGGAAAGGTCTCCATCAGGATTCTGTCTTTTCATTATATTTATTCAGTCTTTATACTGAGCAGATAATCTGAGAAGCTGGATTATATGAAGAGGAGGGTGGCATCAGGACTGGAGCAAGACTCATGCACCTGTGATATGCAAATGAGACAACCCTGCTTGCTGAAAGCGAAGCAGACATAAGTGCTTATTTGTGTAGATCAAAGATGTAAGCTTTCAGTATGGATTGTACCTCAGAGGAAAGAATGAAACAAAAATTCCAGCAGCTGGACCAATAAAGCATGGTGAGGATGGCCCACTGGGTGGGCTGTGTTCTGGTGTGTATGGGGTCTTTATGAATCAGAACAGGCTCTGCAGCACCTGACAACAACAACAGTAGTACCAGTACCTCAGTGAACTGTCTCCTACAAAATGACAACACCATGAAGGAGGAGCTCGTAGCGGAGTGGTTACCAATCGGGCTGCGAACCTCAGAGTCAGCAGTTCGAAACTACCAGCTGTTCTGCGGGGGAAAGATGAGGATTTCTGCTCCCGTAAAGACTTACATCCTCGGAAACCCTGTACACGGTCCCTATGAGTCGGAACCAACTCCATGGCACATAACAACAACACACGATGAAGAACGAAGCCCGGTGCGCTCAGCTGGAAAGGGCTCTAGGTGGGAGAAGGTCCTCTGAATTCCTCAAATGCATGGTGCACTTAGTGTGTCAGTGGATGTAGATGGCCTGTCAGAGCCTCTGAGATGAAGGCCTGTCACTGAACAAGCCAGTATCTGGACCGCAGGGACGTGTCCGAGAGGCATTTGGGTTTTGTATGCAGAGGTAGAAGGTTCCCTGGGCCCGCGGGTGAGACACAGGCCTGGCTGCCATCCATGCAGCTCATGCACGGCCCTCACCCGCCTGTCTGGAGTTGCGTGTGCGGCTGTGTTGTTGCATAGATGGACTAAGAAGAAGTGCCTGGTGATCCGTACCTGAAACTCAGCCACTGAAAACCCTGTGGGTCACGGGACTGGACCGGGCAGCACTGTGTTCCATTGGGCAGCTAACCACAACTGCCTCTCAGTAGCCCTCTCAAATCTCTAATGATGTTTACGTTTAATTTGCATGCTTTGCATTTTGTGTGGGTTTCTTTTTCTTGACTCTTCAGATAATTGACAGATGGCATTGATATCATCGTATTTTATGGTGCGATGATAGAGAACTGATGGTTTTCTTCTGGAACAGGTTCCTAAAGTCGGTCTTGCAGTACACCCAGAACCTGGTGACGTACACTAGCCAGGGGAAGAACAAATGGAGTGAAACGGCCAAGCTTACCCACCGAGCCTTACTGAGAATCTGGACGTTTAGTGAGAAGCAGCAGATGCTAATACATTTAGCCAAGAAACCACAGATAAAGTTGTCTTAGGACAGCTCTGGTTAGTCCGGGTGCTCTTCTTGGTGGTAACACAACCCGTCCGAAGTGACGTTCACAGTGTATAAATGAACCCCAAAGCAGGGTGGGCTCCAGATCTCAAGTTCTGTGATAGTTTCCTGTTTTCTCCCTCCCTTGCTGGCTTCCACCTCGGCCTCCCTTCCCCTGTGAGGACACACTTCCCAGAGAGAGAGAGCGTTCCACTGTGTGTGGCTTTACCCTAGCTGGCCGTACTGCTAGTCAGTGTCCACACTCACAGTCGTCTCTGTCCAAGCAAAGTGGACGCCAGATGTGGCACTTGAAGAGCTGACAACCGTCTTGGGCCCCCGTTGGGTGGACTCATGCTGGCACCTTTCCCAGGAGACTTGATGTGGCCACAGGAACAAATGGGGGGAGACAGCAGGGCAGCGGTCCAGGGGCCTTGTGGGAGTTGGGCCTCCCAGACACGCTGAAAACCAAACGTGTGCATGTGTTTGTCAGCTTTCCGGACAAGTGCCCCTGTCATTGGCCGGGCCAACTGGACAGCCCATGGTGCGTGGTCAAGGGCAGTGTTGTGGTGTGCACCAGGGCCTAGGCCGGCCCAGCGTCAGCTCATGGTACGAGAGTCCGTACCTGCAGAAGTGGGTGATGCTCAGAGCCCTCACACGGATGGTACTACTTGTGGACACCTGGTGCTACCACTGCCTGAGGCCAGCTCATCCGCAGCCTCCTGGACTGTTGAGTCACCTTTCCTGGGCTTCATGTACAATGGGAATCTTGCGGGTTGAATGGTCAGTAGTGGGAACAGATGTGAATGTTGCTTCCAGGGTCCTGAGAGGCTCAGCAGGATTCTTGAGTCCTTGTGGTAGTAGGTGTAGGATGCAGCAAACCCCCCCTCCCCCCAGCTGCACCATGAGATAAAGAGAAGGCGTCTGCACCCATAAAGATCTGCATCTCAGAAACCCGGTGGGTGGAGTTGTTCTCTGTCCGTAGGGTCACTGTGAGTCAGAATCTACATGACTGCAGTGAGTTTGCCTCTTGAATTTTTCAGAGGATCCAGCTAAACACTCCCTGGTCACTGGGCCTTGGAGAATTCTTGAACTTTTGGGGGGGATTTAGCGTTCATCCTGTGACATTCGGAGTTCTTGGCAGCGTGTGGGGAGAAAAGCCACTTGTCACATCAGTAGTGGCAGACGAGACCAGGGCTGTATTGATTGGTTCCAATAAAGAAAGCACCTACGAATGGAGTCGTGATCTGATTAAGTTTGTGACAAGCTAGTCCCCAAGACCCACCTGCTTTCCACACTGGTCACAGGAGCCCAGGCCCGGGGACTCTGGTCCCTGAAACTCTTGGAGCAAGGCATGACTGTTTGGGTTTCCTGCCTTGGAAGGTGGCAGTTCTCCAGGTTCCTATGCGCCCCTCCACCATGCCAGACCGTGCTTCATGAATCAGGAACCCACTGTGGGAATCCCATGTTACCAAGTGTTATCCCAGCTGTGTGTCCAGGATCTGAGGGAATGATGTAATTCACTGGGCCAACATCACACCCACCTGCCCACTGTAAGTGACCGCTCACACTTTGTGGGATGTCTCCAGGAATTGGAATCCGTTGAGGGCTAGTTTCCAGTAATTTCCAGGAAAAGCTGGGTGTTTTCCCCCAGATCACAGTAACCTGGTAAATAATCACAGTTCCTTTTGAGGTCACCTGAAAGAAAGGTGGCTTTTGTGGCAACTTTAGATACTTCCTCAAGGAGATTGTGCAGCCCCCGAGGTCTCTGAGTTAGCTCATCTGTGCCCATCCATACTGGTAAATTTCCCTGAGCTGATGTCCACCCATGAGAATTCTGCCAACTGAATCTGGTAACATTTCCCAAGCATCTCTCTTGGTCACACCTTGTGTTTCACTCTGGGTGCCTGCTGGGCTCTGGAAGCGGAAATGCAGGGTGGGTGGGTGTCTCGGAGTTGCTGCTCCTACGGAGGCTTTGGGGTCTGGGGGATGGAGGTCATGAGAGTCCCATCCCCCTACTGCAGAAACAGCATCCTTTCGCCTGTTCGCGTCCTGACTCACTGCCCCCGGCCTTCTATAGGACTGGCCTGACTCCAGGGCTTTCCCAGTGCTTCCTCACAGCTTTCCCAGTGCTTCCTCACAGCTATGCTGCTGAGGGTGGTCCCCACTTCTCCCTCACCTGAGGGAAGAGCCGGCCTGGTTAACTGATGTGCCCAGCGTATCCGGAGACCACCAAGTCTAAGTACCTGGAACCTTCTGGAAAACTGGATGGTGCCGGCGGAGTGTGATCATGCCATACCATTTCCTCACCGTGTTAACAGCCCCACCAGCAATGAAGGGGTGCCCACTGTCTCCACACACTGCCAGCATTCGCTGTGTTTTGGAACTTTACTGTTAATGTTGGGCTGAGATAATGTCTCATTGTTCTGAATTGTATCACTCTGCAAAGACTAATGAATGCTCTTTTTATAATGAATGGCATGCCCAGTATAGTAAACCATGATTGTCAGGTTCTCAATGGCCCAGACTTGTTCAGCTCGCTCATGCCTAGCATACATTCCATGTCATTTTTGACGACTTCCAGTTTTCCTAGGTTCATGGTTAGTGCGTTCCATGTCCTGGTGATTCATAGGTGTTTGTAACTGTTACAGTCTGGAGTTGTCCACATCAGCAGATAAAGTCGTTAGGTGCCTTCGAGTAGGCTCCTGTTCATCGCAACCCTAATGCACTGTAAGGGTCCTTCCTACTCGAGGGTCTTGAAGGCTGTGCTTCGTGCTTCATTCCTATCATTAAGGCCAACTCTCCTTTGAGGAGGCAGCTCTTCCCCCGTCGTATTTCGTGTGCCTTCCTACCTGGGGCTCACCTTCCGGCACTGTATCAGACAGTGTTCTGCGTTTCATAACACTGCCCGTGGCTAGCCTTTCAGAAGTATCCTTTATACTAGTCTGCTGGAAGCTCACCTTAACGGGTCCACCATGGGTGCCCCTGCTGTTAGTAAAATACCGGTGGTATATCTTCCAGCGCCACACAAGCCACCACAGTGCAGACATTGAAGGATAAGTGTGATGGATCCAAATAAACCTGCCTATACTTACTGGGAAGGCGCTCTGGTAACGTAGTGGTTATCAATCAGGCTGCTAACCTCAGGGTCAAAAGTTCGAAACCACCAGTTCTGCGGGAGAAAGATGAGGCTTTCTGCTCCCGTAAAGATTTACAGCCTCGGAAACTCTGTGCAGGGTCGCTCTGAGTTAGAACCGACTCCATGGCACATAACAACAACATACCTACCGGTATGTTAATTCCATTGGATGTGTTATGACCCATAGTGACCCTGCATAGGGTTTCCAAGGAGCAGCTGGTGAGCTTGAATTGTCGACCTTACAGTTCAAACCAATTTGGCAATCCAGCAGATTAACCCCAGAGTTACCAGTATGATATTAGGCAAATCTGCAAGAAATCTCTTTGAAGTGTCCCATGACAAAGGTGACAGTTTGAGGACCAAGGTGTTAGTGACTCAAGCCACGCTGTTTTCAACAGCCTCATGTGTTTGTGAAATTTTTAGACTAAGGAGTCCATAGACGGTGGTGCTGGAAGGGGCAGTATATTGTTCAGTGCAGCAGATGGTTGCTATGAACAGGGCCCAACCAGAGGCCGCCTAACAGTAGTATCTTCCCATAACTGTCCCAAGCCAAGGCTAAAACGCTGCCTAGTAGCCCACCTAACATACCTACCAAGGGAGTGTGAGATACCTTTTGCACTAATGTGTGTGGCTTAACACTGAGGCACACCCACACTTGCCATCTGTGCCCTGATGCCAGGAGAGTCCAGTTAGATGACACATGCCCAGTTCAGCTCTGCTGGACTGTCACTTGTTGGACATGCTGTGTAGTCGGCCGTGCCCCCTGAAGGCACGATGGAGAGAAAACCATGGTTGGCACATAGTCTTGGGAATCTGCTCTGCTCAGAGGACCCTGGGAAAGTAGCCATCACTGGTTAACTTTTCTTTGTAGTGTGTGCATCAGCTCTCAACCTGCTGGCTGCTGCCTTACCTGTGTCCACTCTCAAAAAACTCCCCAGCCAAGTGGACAGGGAGCCCCTCTGGCCACAGTTTATTGGACTAGTAGTCACCACTAGGGGGAGCTTGTCTGTTGGCACCTACAGCTCAAGATGTCCAATGCTTGACAAGGTGAGCAGCTCCCAGGATTCCTAGCTGGAGATATGGGAAGAGGAAGCTAAGGCAGAAGCAGCTGGATATGAAGGATCAGGACGGCCTAGCGTTGTGCCAGGTGAGATGTGTACCAAGTGTTGTTTGCAGAGAATGGAGCTGATGGGAAGAGGGGTGGACACATGGTGAAGTAATGCATGGAATCCCAAGCTGCCCTGGGCTTTCTCAGTGCTGGGATTCCTTTTGAGAAAGTCCTTAGATGAATTTCTGCCACTTGCAACGGAAAGATAAGGAGGCGGCTTCAAAAAGCCCACGGGAAATGGAGTAAAAAGATCCTGGGATTTGTCCATGAACTTTCTGAAGCCCCCTATACCGGCGGACGTGCTCCAGCCTAGAGGGAGACAGACAGAAATGTCCACGGTGGCATGGGGGGAGCCTGGGAGGGGACACAGTGGGCAGTTTTGCAGCTTGGCTTTCCTCCTCTGTAAAGTGTTGGTGACACTGATGTCATTACTGTGGGAGCATGGGGACGCTGTAGGATAAGAACTAGACTGTGAGCCACTAGCTGAGTGGTTTGAGCCCACCAGCTGCTCTGCTGTATAAAGATGAGACTTTCTGCGCCTTGGAAACCCTATACAGGGTTGCTGTGAGTCTGAAGGGACTGGACACTTTTAACAACAGGCATTGCTGTGTACCGCTATCGAGAAGACGGACTCATGGCGACTCTGTATGCAGAGTAGAACTGTACTTCACAGACCTTTTCTTTGGAGGCACCTCTGGATGCATTGTTGTTGTTATGTGCCGTGGAATCAGTTCTGACTCATAGTGACCCTGTATGGGTT